ACTGTCTGTTCTCCTGTAGTTTACTGTCTGTTCTCCTGTAGTGTACTGACTGTTCTCCTGTAGTTTACTGTCTGTTCTCCTGTAGTTTACTGTCTGTTCTCCTGTAGTGTACTGACTGTTCTCCTGTAGTTTACTGTCTGTTCTCCTGTAGTTTACTGTCTGTTCTCCTGTAGTTTACTGTCTGTTCTCCTATAGTTTGCTGACTGTTCTCCTGTAGCGTACCGTCTGTTCTCCTGTAGTTTACTGTCTGTTCTCCTGTAGTTTACTGTCTGTTCTCCTGTAGTTTACTGTCTGTTCTCCTGTAGTTTACTGTCTGTTCTCCTATAGTTTGCTGACTGTTCTCCTGTAGCGTACCGTCTGTTCTCCTGTAGTGTACTGTCTGTTCTCCTGTAGTTTACTGTCTGTTCTCCTGTAGTGTACTGACTGTTCTCCTGTAGTTTACTGTCTGTTCTCCTGTAGTTTACTGTCTGTTCTCCTGTAGTTTACTGTCTGTTCTCCTGTAGTTTACCGTTTGTTCTCCTGTAGTTTGCTGACTGTTCTCCTGTAGTTTACTGTCTGTTCTCCTGTAGTTTACTGTCTGTTCTCCTGTAGTGTACTGTCTGTTCTCCTGTAGTTTACTGTCTGTTCTCCTGTAGCGTACCGTCTGTTCTCCTGTAGTTTACTGTCTGTTCTCCTGTAGTTTACTGTCTGTTCTCCTGTAGTTTACTGTCTGTTCTCCTGTAGTGTACTGTCTGTTCTCCTGTAGTTTACTGTCTGTTCTCCTGTAGCGTACCGTCTGTTCTCCTGTAGTTTACTGTCTGTTCTCCTGTAGTTTACTGTCTGTTCTCCTGTAGCGTACCGTCTGTTCTCCTGTAGTTTACTGTCTGTTCTCCTGTAGTTTACTGTCTGTTCTCCTGTAGTTTACTGTCTGTTCTCCTGTAGTTTACTGTCTGTTCTCCTGTAGTTTACTGTCTGTTCTCCTATAGTTTGCTGACTGTTCTCCTGTAGCGTACCGTCTGTTCTCCTGTAGTTTACTGTCTGTTCTCCTGTAGTTTACTGTCTGTTCTCCTATAGTTTGCTGACTGTTCTCCTGTAGCGTACAGTCTGTTCTCCTGTAGTGTACCGTCTGTTCTCCTGTAGTTTACTGTCTGTTCTCCTGTAGTTTACTGTCTGTTCTCCTGTAGTGTACTGACTGTTCTCCTGTAGTTTACTGTCTGTTCTCCTGTAGTGTACTGACTGTTCTCCTGTAGTTTACCGTCTGTTCTCCTGTAGTTTACTGTCTGTTCTCCTGTAGGGTACTGACTGTTCTCCTGTAGTTTACTGTCTGTTCTCCTGTAGTTTACTGGCTGTTCTCCTGTAGTGTACTGACTGTTCTCCTGTAGTTTACTGACTGTTCTCCTGTAGTGTACTGACTGTTCTCCTGTAGTGTACTGTCTGTTCTCCTGTAGTTTACTGGCTGTTCTCCTGTAGTTTCTGGCTGTTCTCCTGTAGTGTACTGACTGTTCTCCTGTAGTTTACTGTCTGTTCTCCTGTAGTTTACTGTCTGTTCTCCTGTAGTTTACTGTCTGTTCTCCTGTAGTTTACTGACTGTTCTCCTGTAGTTTACTGTCTGTTCTCCTGTAGTTTACTCTCTGTTCTCCTGTAGTTTACTGACTGTTCTCCTGTAGTTTACTGTCTGTTCTCCTGTAGTTTACTGTCTGTTCTCCTGTAGTTTACTGTCTGTTCTCCTGTAGTTTACTGACTGTTCTCCTGTAGTTTACTGACTGTTCTCCTGTAGTTTACTGTCTGTTCTCCTGTAGTTTACTGTCTGTTCTCCTGTAGTTTACTGACTGTTCTCCTGTAGTGTACTGACTGTTCTCCTGTAGTTTACTGTCTGTTCTCCTGTAGTTTACTGTCTGTTCTCCTGTAGTTTACTGACTGTTCTCCTGTAGTGTACTGACTGTTCTCCTGTAGTTTACTGGCTGTTCTCCTGTAGTTTACTGTCTGTTCTCCTGTAGTTTACTGACTGTTCTCCTGTAGTGTACTGACTGTTCTCCTGTAGTGTACTGACTGTTCTCCTGTAGTTTACTGACTGTTCTCCTGTAGTGTACTGACTGTTCTCCTCTAGTTTACTGTCTGTTCTCCTGTAGTTTACTGACTGTTCTCCTGTAGTGTACTGACTGTTCTCCTGTAGTTTACTGACTGTTCTCCTGTAGTTTACTGACTGTTCTCCTGTAGTGTACTGACTGTTCTCCTGTCGTGTACTGACTGTTCTCCTGTAGTTTACTGACTGTTCTCCTGTAGTGTACTGTCTGTTCTCCTGTAGTTTACTGACTGTTCTCCTGTAGTGTACTGACTGTTCTCCTGTAGTGTACTGACTGTTCTCCTGTAGTTTACTGACTGTTCTCCTGTAGTGTACTGACTGTTCTCCTGTAGTTTACTGGCTGTTCTCCTGTAGTTTACTGTCTGTTCTCCTGTAGTTTACTGACTGTTCTCCTGTAGTGTACTGACTGTTCTCCTGTAGTGTACTGACTGTTCTCCTGTAGTTTACTGTCTGTTCTCCTGTAGTTTACTGACTGTTCTCCTGTAGTGTACTGACTGTTCTCCTGTAGTGTACTGACTGTTCTCCTGTAGTTTACTGTCTGTTCTCCTGTAGTTTACTGTCTGTTCTCCTGTAGTTTACTGACTGTTCTCCTGTAGTGTACTGACTGTTCTCCTGTAGTGTACTGACTGTTCTCCTGTAGTTTACTGTCTGTTCTCCTGTAGTTTACTGTCTGTTCTCCTGTAGTTTACTGTCTGTTCTCCTGTAGTTTACTGACTGTTCTCCTGTAGTTTACTGACTGTTCTCCTGTAGCGTACTGCCTGTTCTGCTGTGGCTGACTGCCTGGTTGTGCTCCTTCTCAGACGGGTCGGACAGCGATGTGGACCTGAGGTTCCGGCAGTGTGCTCAGTATCTGGACCTGACGGAGCGGCTGCAGGAGGCTCGGGGCCGGCTGCAGCTGCAGAGGGAGGGGCTGCAGGTGGCGGGGGAGCGGCTGCAGAGCGACGTGGCAGAGGTCAGAGGTCAAACCCTCTGACCCGACTCTCCTCTGCTTCTCTACTGGGACTTTAACTGAGTTTTTTCAGTCCAGAGGGATGGTGGTTCAGCTCGGTCAGTCAGACCTAGCTGAGTGCCCTTCAGCCAAATAGCCCAGTGTAGGCAGCTCCTGACCTCGGGAAACATGTGAGGGTTGTTGCTGACGGTAAGAGCGGATAGAATGAAGGTAAAAAGTACAATCAGGCTGAGATCTTGACTGATACAATGGTTACAGACATTATCAACTGAAGTTGCAGTTTACTTCTTCAATCAATACTAGACATATTGCCATACAAACTGACCAATTACTAGTTAAATTGGGTTGATTTCTGCTTTTGCTGGTCCGGTGTACGATCTTAAACTGGTGTGATTATGATGATTTACTTTTTAGTTTGACTGGGAAGCTGATGTGTTTTAGGGGAGACGGCACAGTGTCACACCAAAGCACTGCTGGGTCTCTGCGTCATGTTGGATCATCACATCAAAAAAGGCGACAGTGGCAGTAAAAGAGTCTGGTATATCACTTCGCTGTTTAAGTAAATATCCAACTGGTTTGCAACAACTTTACAGTATGAAGTGATGTTATATTTGTCATGCTATGATGGACAGCTAACATATTCTCAGATAAAGTCTTTAATAGTTGACAAAGAATGTGATTATACTCAATCAAAAATAAATGTAGCAATTTTAGCGTTTGTTAATCCGATCTATGTACAGTTTTGCAATGTGTTTTGACTGAGCGTAAGGTTTTCCCTTGTTATATTGTTCAGTCGTGTAAATTCCCATATCTCATTGTTTTCCTAAATGATTCTGTACAATTCTGAAGTTCCTACATTTTGCATACAGTGCAAATGTTAAACAGTCTCACCCTGAGCTCTGAGGACAGGAAGGTTTTTGAGCGTCAAACCTCTATGGTGCTGAAGAGCCCCATTGTTTTGAATTGTCTGCAGTTAAGATGGCGACATGTGTTATTGCACTTTAAATGTACGTTTTTTCTCAAGTCCAGAGTCAGTTTGACCGGGTTTTTCTTGCAGTAATGTATGTTCATATCAGATCTTGACAATGCTCTTCCAATATAAGTGATGAAAGACAAAACCTACAGCTATGTGAAGCTATCATGAGGCTTCAGCAGGTTCCCAAATATAATCAAGTGTATTATTTCTATTCAAATATAATACATGTATTTTATCAGGTGACAGTGCTTTTAGTGCAAAATCCTTTAATCTCCTGCCTCACCTTTACTGCAGAAGTCCTTTTACTTTAAATAAGCTTATCTTTTTTCATTAAAAGAGGGCTGAGGATTTTGTTCTCCATCAATTTCATGAAAAGCACGTTAAGGAGAGTCCAAAACAGAATACAAATCTCCATCCTGCAAAGATGAATAAAGCGCCATTTGAAGCCCAATCTTCAGTTCCTCACTGACAGAAATATTTCATCCAAGAAATTGAAAAATCTGATTTCTTTTGTTAGTACTGGAACTTTCAACAGCCTGTATGAGCTGGAGGCAACATCGAACATTATCGTGAGCAAAGCATGTTTTTACTGTTTGGATCGACACCTTACTTTTGTTTTAACTTAAAACATTTTGAACCTAAATCCAAACCTTTACCTTAACTGTAATACCTCATAACAAACAAAGTATAAAGCTTAGTTTTACAAGCAAAACAACAAGCTGTATTTAAAACCAGCGTACCAATTCAGCACTGCTCACAAATACCATTTGCTGATGCCCGCTAGCCGTCAACTTCTAATGTGACACCACTTGTCACATTATTATGTTGAGGTTTCTTGTACATATTTCACCTCCTAAAACTGGCCTCATGTTCAGTCTAAACCTCTTTATTAACAAGACGCATTGAATGTCTCACTACTAAATAAAAAGCACCATGTTGAGGACGTCCTTTTTTTTTGTCTTCTCATTTAACAATTTCGTACCTTCAGCTGTTTGAAGAAAGTGGACCCAGAGTTCTAATGAAACATGTCATTTTTTATTTGATGAAAACATTTATTATGACACAGTTCTGCTGCTTCGCCTATTTCACATGGCACCATAACTCCTCGGGGGCCTTGTTTCAGGCACGACAGGCTGGGGCCGCCATTATGAGTGACACTAGACATGAGCCCAATAACTTTCCACAAAAGGTACGTTTCAAGAGACCTTATAATGTATATAATATTTAATTTCATAACAGATTTTCACAGTGAATTGGAAAACGCTGAATGCAGAGTGCTAGGCATTTTATTTAAAACCTATGAATTTGGACATGAACAATTGTCTACAGCCAGGCGTGTTCAAGGTTGCTGACAGTGATGGTGGACTAACTCCCAGGACCCTTCTGATGGCTTTTTAACACGAAAACGAACCCCCTGTCCGTCTCATTCACACAGTTTTCACTCTTCGTCCTAATCTTTATTTTTAGTTGCTGTTAAAGTGATTCTCAAACCCAAAATCTGTCTTGATACGTATCAAACAAACGGTTTACAAATTCTCATTTCAAGCCTTTAATTATGGGTTCAAATAAGGAACACAAATATTTTAAATGTGTGAAATACATGTTTAGGAAAATGCCAAACTGTTCTGTTGACTCCTGGGGCTTCACTTTTATCTGGTTACAGATGAAACAAATGTACATTTCTTACAGTCTAAACATATAGTGATTTAGAGTCACAACAGTCCTGTCATCCCCTGCAGGTGTGTATATAATGTCACATTTAGACAAATATTCACACTTACTCACAAACTGCGGTGACTCAGGACAGCTAGTGTTGTAGCTATCACCTTTTTGACTGAAATTAATAAGTGTGTGCGTGATAACACTATGTTTACATGCACATTGATTTCAACATTTCAAATAATTGATAGATTACGAAACTAAAGTTGATCACTCAAACTTGACCCAAGTACCGTAGCTTTGACAGAAATATCACACCAAGGCTAAGGTACTTCGGCCAAATCATTCTACTCTTGCCTACAGTAAATGTGTGTTTGCATGTTTAAAGTCAGTGTCAGCTTTAAATCTGTACTCAGATCAAGCCCCTTTTTTCTGTTTATATCATTTGTCTACCCATTTTCTACAACTGCACTTTTAAAAACTCTGACTACTCAGGCATAGTTTTTACAAAAGGTAATGCACAATGAGATCATTTCTAAATTAACTTAATCAAACCAACCAGGTGATTGATACTCATACGATAACAGATTTCAGGGCTGTTCACCGTTGGCTCATCATTTTCTACATACTTTTTCCATTTTGGAAACACTGATTATAAGTATATTTCTGTGTCGGTGCAAAATACACCCTTCTTGGTACAAGACTAAAATGCCATTTTCTTGTAATGGCGGCACTAATTAGCAGCCACAGACACATGTGATCACTTTAAGAATAGTTTCATTGTGTTCCTTGACCCTCAAAACATGGGTCTAGACACATTATTTGTTAATTTATCTGCAATAATGGCTGAGAGAGTCAAAGGAGTAAAAAGAGTGAAACTCAAATGTCAGGGTAATAGGCACACTAATTTGGAACTTTTTAACATAGCTAATCGTTTTCTACACAATTCTTCCAATCTAGAAAAGCTGATTAGAAGTATATTTCAGGGGGGTGCATGATACCCACTAGAGTAGACCATATATTATTTAAATGGCCAGGGGGACCTGAAGTTTTGCATTAAAATTATATTTTGCTTAACTGTATATGCTTTGGAAATACAGTAGGTTCAGTGTGGTAAATAATAAACCTTGTTTTATGAATAATGAGCCCCTTTAGGTAGATGAATGATGAATGTTATTTCTGTCTTTTGTCTTCCAGCAGCACACATGGAGGAGCGATGTTACAACAACAGAGAATATTCATTGTCTTAATATTCAACTTCTTCTCAACCTATCACTACTTTACAGCAACACAGTTAAGCGGATATTAACAAGTTATACAGATTTTTGTAAGGACACATGTCACATGTCACATGGACACATGTCCAAAGCCGCCCCATCACTGGATGAAATCATTGTGTTTCTGGACAAGGAATACTCAACAGCAATAATGCCTGAATATAGAATCAAACATAACAATTATGTCATGTTATTAGATGAAGCATGTAGTCGCTTTGTTCAGCTATGCTGACAGTTTATACCATTATATGTCTTTTCAGCAGATGGCTAGTAATGCTCTTGTCTAGAAATAATTTTACCTCTGAATAACAACTTAATTGTCCCTCCACAATGTTAACAGGTGCGTGTACACAGTCATATACAGTATATATGCATGCTGTCATCGAGCAACAGATTATTTTGCCCACAAGGAAGCTTTGGAGATTTTGTATATCTGTGTGTTATTTACAAAACTGATTAAGACAAAGAGTACAGGAGAGAGTAAATACCAGAATCTGCTTATAGTTTGGAAAACCACAGGATGCTATCATTTGTTCTGCAGCAGGGATTTAACTTGAGTAGGTGTTGCGAATAATCATATTCCTCCTAAAATTGCCGCTCAGTATACTTTATTATTAATACTTTTTTTACCAAAGTTGAGCTGGGGAGATATGATAATATCTACATATATATATATATATATATATATATATATATATATATATATATCTATATATATATATATATATATATATATATATATATATATATATATATCTATATATATATATATATATATATATATATATATAGATAGATGTACACTAATACAACTAAAGTCAAACAGCTCTCATTAAAAATATTTAAATACATATTGCAAAATGTTTAGCTTTTGAATTTAGAATTGTTCATATCGTTAACCTGTAATACACATCGATATCATTCCGAAATCACTATATCATCTAAATAAGGTAATTGCACTGTTAATCCGAAGTTTTTTCTTAAATGTAGCCCCAGACCTACTGGAGAAATATGGAGAAAAAAAAGACAAGCAGTGTATTATAATTCAGTTGATTAGGGATTAAGAGGCCCAAAGCATTGATTAACTGTATGTAAAAAATGCTTAACATTTCAGTGTATTGGCGTCATTTGTGAGAGTCTGTCAACAGTCATCCACAGTTTGTATATTTTCAGGTAAAAGTCCAGCTGAGTAATCCTTCAACAATTTGCATAATATTGTTCTTTTATCGATTCCGTCCAGAAAACCGATGTGCTGAAATCAAGTTAATTGTCTTTTTCTTCATGTTTTCACTACGTTTCTAACAGGCAATGATTATTCTACAAATACAAAAAAAGTACAAAAAGATGCACTTCCTTTTCATGTGAGATTTGTCTCTGAAGTGCATTGTTATTTCTGGTCTGTTCTTGTCCGACCTCTCTTAAAGCATACATCCAACCTTGTATGAATGGTAGATGGAAGCTTTGATCAATTGTTCAGAGAGAAAGACTTGAATGCAGTGAATGGGGAAAGTAAAGGGTAAATACCCGAGGTATATGGGCCACCACACTCCTAGACTGTCCACCTGAGTTTCATCCAGGATCACAGTAGAGTAATCCATGTCGTCCAGTAATCCACTAAATGTCTTACGACTCACTTTTGCCCCCAGACTTTTCATTGATCGAGGCTCTCTGGCTCTGCTTGTCTTGTAGGTTGCAGGAAATGGGGCTTGGAGTATAATTAAATGGAGTGATACGGGCGGCCTTGCTGGGGGATCCTTGGCGGAAATGGACAACTCCACTGACGTGGGAATCAGACGTTCCTGTGGAGACAGTACTGTGGCTCCTTGGGGACACGTCAGAATCTCCATCCTGCAGGTTACTCCCAGAGGTTGAACTAATCTTCTTAAGTAGAGCAAAGCGTGACACTTCTTCTGAAATCACCTGAGCTGTTTCAACCGTTGGAGAGGTGCTTGAGTTGGTCTTGTTGTTTGTAAAATCCTCTGTCTGGACTGTCGCATCGCTTGTCTTGCGAGATGCAAGTAGAATTGTTGGCAATTTTCCTGGTAGAGCCAGTGGCTTTGGCTGTTCCCCGTCAGGAGAAGTCACCAGAGGTAACGCATTTTCTGGCAGAGTGCTTTTCAAGATCTGAGATACATCTTCATCCCTGATCCTCCTCCAGGTGACTCTTTCATTAAGCCGTGATGCAGATCTCTGCACTTTCTTCTTTGTATCATCCTCGCTCTTTGCTCTTCCGCTTGAATCAGATGAGGACGAACGGAGGGAGGAACGGCTTGTCACCCGGCTCAGTATGTTTAGGCTTGGCGATGAAGCATGATGTTTAAAGTTATCCTTGTCTTGTTGCTGCTTGGGTCCAGACACTCTGCCAGGCCCGTTTCGCTGAGCCAACCTGCAAGGGCTTTCAGAACTGGTTCTTCTGGATGGGCGTCTTGCAGATAGGTCTCTTTCACTGGAGGTTGCTCTGGAGAGGGCTGCACTCTGCTTCTGAAGGCGGTCTGACCTCTGCTCTGTTTGTCTTGGATCTTTTACTTGCACCCGTCTGGGAGTTTGCACAGATACCTTTAGTTCCTGACAGCGTGATGAGCAAAGGAAGACAGCTGTAGCTCCAGGATTTGTTCTGCGCGGGGATCCATTTTGAGATCCTGACATGTTGCGTGCTGAGTTATCACGTCTAAGCGCGTTCTGTGATTCCTTAATGAAAGTCAGCTGTCTCAAAAATCCATTGCGCTCAGACTCACCACCACTTGAATGGACAGAAGTCATCCTGACCAGTCCAAAACGATTGGTTGGTGCTAAACGTTTGCCATTGACCTGATTGATTTGTGTGGTGGTTGTTTTGTTAGTTACTAGAGGTGACAGAGGTCTTGGCCTGACTGAATTTTGCATAAAAGGAATTCGGACAGGAGACTTTTGAGTTTTAGGTGGTGCAGACTTTTCATTTTGTTTCATAACAGGAGAGCGTCCCTTTCTTTCAGGGGGGCTTGTAGCTGGCGGGCTACTAGGTAATGAGGCATTCTTTTTCTGGTTGGCTTTATTTGTCTGAGTCGGGGATGTTATCTTCTTCTGTGACTGTTTAGATAGTGTAGAGCTTTGTGATGATCCAGAGGATGAACTTTTTGGTATCCTTGGAGGTGGAGTAGAGCTTCTCTTTGGCAAAGATAGTTCAATATCCTGGGGCCGACCTAATCTGTGAAGGCTCTTTGATCTGTACTGAGCAAGGTTTGGGTTCTTTGGAGCATCTGTCTTGGTTGTTATTTTTCTAGGAGGAGGTATTTGTGATGGAGCCGTCTCCTTTTTCGGTGTGTAGATCACTGTCCTGCCTCTGAAAACCATTGGTAGGTTTGGAACTGGCTTGCGCTGCGCAAAGTCAAGAGGTTTATTTGCCTTTTTATCTTTAGCAAACTTCCTTTCTTTGGGTGTAAAGCTGGATGTTGACATAAATGACAGGACTGATTCAGTCTCTTCAGAAGATGGGTCCTGAGACCTTGATGCCTGCAACCCAGTGACAACACAATTAGCACCTTCTTGTATGGCTCTCCATTCAACACTATTGAGGTCTGAATCTTTATCCCATGCTGTATCATCACTATCCATGTCCTCATCCATATCCATTTCCTCATTCATGTTCCACCCATCAGAGGTCTTTTGTTTTTTAGTATTTTCTGCTTTTTTCTTTCTGGCAGCAAGCCTTCTTCTCTGCCTAGGCATGGCAGATGTTATGCATTTCTGAAGAAGGTCATCCTCTGAATCCATGCTGACAGAGCTTGGCGAGCTTGGATCTTCGTATTGGCTGTGAATGTTTATAGTCTTTGTTTGTTTCATCGTATTCAGTGTTTTGTTGTGTCTGTTTTTGTACCATATTTTATGGGCTTTTGATTTATGAGGCTCAAACTCAGCATCACTCAGTGAACTAAGTGAAGAGCTGAGTGAGTAACATGCCAGTGATTCATCCTTAATCAGATGTTGTTTTATCCTTTGAAATCCTCTTGAAATTGCTTGGGAATTATCAACACTGCCAATATTTGTCATGCTCCGGGAGAGAGTGTTTCTACTTTCTTCCCTGATTTGTTTTCTGCTTGTTCGTTTGATTGCTTCCTTTTTATCATCATAGAAGCTGTTACTGTCCTCGGAAGATTGTGTCATTTGCCGAAAGACTGTTTTCCCTTTTTGTGATCGAACATTTAGGTTACCTTCTTTGTTTTGCTTAATGACGGGCAATTCCAGTTTCCTGGCCGTACCTTGACCTTGCCTATTATTTTGCTGGTTTGGTGACTTATCACGCTTTCTTTGGTTTGCCACCCTATCTGCTACCTCTTTGCTCTGCAACAGCACCCTCTGCGTCGGAATGATATGTTTGGTTGTTCGATTCATTTGTATCTCTGGTGGGTAGTTCATCTTGTTGGGTTTATGGAAGTGTGAGAATATCTTCAAGTCTTCTATCCTCTTTGCCTCATCGTCAAGCAATTCCTGTTTGTTTATACCTTTAGCTGTGCAGTCGTTAGCTCCCCTCTCCTTTACTGAATACTGAAGTGTTTCATCACTAAGGGATGTTGTGCTGGAGAAGTTGACTGGTGTACCTTCTGCAGAATCAGTGAAGGACGAATCGTCAAATATGAAGTCCTTTTGGGGGATGACGAATCTCCTTCCAGGACACATTTGGGTTTTGCCATTTGGAAGCATCATGTATACTGGAATTTGTTTTCGGATCTGATAATTGAGAATATGAGGAGGGATGGTGGTCATCAGGGAAGGTCTTACTTGTCTGAACTTGGAGGGCATTGCTGAGTTGATGCATTCCTTTAAGATTTCTATGTCATCATCTGAGTTGCCCTCACTATATCTCTCACCATGGTCAAATCCTTGCTCATGCTCATCAGGGAAAGGAAGATCTTTGTCATTTTGCTGGAGTAGGGGAGTCAATTTCAGCTCAACATCTTTTTGTATGTAGTGTTCGTGAAGAGGCAGTGCACTCAAACTCGAAGCACAAGAGAAGTTTTCAGTTGGCTTTTCCACTGTAAAGTAGATCATAGTGTCCAAGTCAGGAGGAAGGTTAAACCTCTCCTTGGAGTCTGCAATCTCCATGAACTTTCGCAGGCTGTTTTCCCATTGACCTGCAATTCCTGTGGCCTGTGTTTCTTGTTCATTTGACTCAATGCAACATGGAGTTTTACTTCGACTAGGAGGCATGGTTTGACCCGGGCTGTCAGGTAGATCACTAGGGCTTATTGTTCCATCAATCATCTCACTGCATGGGTCACTTTGAATTGAGCTGGCAATAGAAGGAGACTCAAAACTACCCAGGGAACTGACTGAGCTACAGCGACTCATTATCAGGGGCGTCTCGTGGATGTAGTTTTCAGATGAACTTGATGGAGATCTGTCTTCAAGTATGGCTGGTGAAGCTCCTCTAAGGAACACCTTTTCCCGTTTGGCATGACAGGGAATCTCAATGGGATCTGTCTCTTTGCTGGGGAATGTTTTTGAGTCAGTCATTAGCAGCTGACTGTCACTCAGATCCTCCAAGGTTTCATCCTCTTCAGCTCTTTTCACCTCTTCCCCATCTTCTACTTCAATTATTTCTAATGATGAGTCACTCTCTAGCTCATTTTCACTTTGTCCATCCAATGCTCCGTCGCCAGAAGAGAGGGAGGAGAGTGAACTGCAGCGGGAGAAGCAAATTGGGGTGTTCTCCACCGAGTATTTCTGGATCGTCTCCATCGCCCCAATAGTTGGGCTTCTGGTGGATGACATTGGAGAACATTTAGTAATACTAGCCCCAGTCATCACAGTAGGTACCCATGCTTGCCTCCTCATTGCTTGGGCAGCCTGTACATTGATTGCTGTCTTTGCTACACCACATTTAGCCACACTCTGAATAAGTGGAACCTGTTGATAAGAAGGAGACAGTTTAATTGAAGTCATGCTGACATCAGAGGAGAGTTTAGTACAAGCACTGACAGGCGTTTGTACAGGTTGATCCTGATACTTTTCTGCTTCTGTGCTGCTGAGCTCTTCACCTCTTGCATCTTTGTTGTCCACAGAATCTCTCTCCGGAATGTATTGATGGTTAGTCTCATTCAGTGCAGACGCTCCAACATTGAAGTAATCTTGATGGTCCACCTTGAGATCAAGCTGGTTGGGACGCTGTTGCATTGTTAGAGGCTTTGGAGCAGGTCGCATATGGTCTTTGCTTCCACAGTAGCCATCACTGGTGCTTCCACTGTTTAGGCTGTCTGTTGATACATTTGTATTGGCCGTTTTGAGGCGCAAGAGGGCATGGGCTCTACTGAGCCGTTCCCTGTGGGCCAAGCTGCTTGTTTCGGAGAGACGGCAAGGGGAGCGTGATTTTGCACGGGCTTCATTTAGTTCATCCAGCCCATAAGGCCAGTCCGCCAAGTGGTCTTCAGAGCTGAGGCTAAAACTGTCCTCTGATGATGTTTGCATGGTGATGTCCTCCACTAACCTGTCTATCTTGGCAACCGTGTTGGTGATCTTTTTGGCCAGCTTCTCTGCAGCAGCAGATACCAAATCTTCAGGAGGAGCTTGTCTCTTCTCGACCATCTGAGGGATGTCTACATCTCTCTCAGGTTCACTGTCCCTCTTGCGTGGTTGGTTTTGCAGGAAGTTAGAGTTTGTAAGGAACATAGAGAGCATCGAGAAACTCCCAGTGTCCAGGCTACTGGAGACGTTGGGTGCCTCATCATCATCAAAACAACCAGAATCAGATGCATAATCCTTTGCCAGACTCTCAATGTGGCGTAGTGGCTTGTTAAGTGTCAGATTCTTGGGGCTTTGTTTCTCCAGGGTGTCAAAAGTCTCTGCAAGGTGTTTGGCATCCAGCTCTGCCTCCAGAGCCTTCTGTTTCCTCATGTAAAGTGACGGCATGCAGGACCCAGGGGATACTACGGCAGCATCCTTATATTTTAGGGGTCGATTTGTGAGGAGATTCCTTAAAGCTGCAGCGCTGCCCATGGCTATCATCTTGTGCTTGGAGTGGATAAGGTTGCGCAGCATGCTAACTGCACCAAGATCCCAGAGCAGCTCCTGGTCTTTTGGACTACGGGCAGAGAGGTTCCAGAGAGTTCCGCAGGCGTTGCTCACTATTGTCAGACTGTGGGAGCGCAGGTGCTGCAGCAGAGTCTGGAGGCAGTTGTGGTCCCTGAGGATTTGCCTTGAAGTAAGAAAGCAAAATACATTTTAATATAATTATTATCTGCAGCTGAAGCAATTACTTGGTACATTAAAGAACATTTTACCCCAATTAACTACATGAGTAGGTTGACTAGAAAACTCTGTTCTCTATTTAACAAACAATAATGTAACTGGCAAGAATCCCGTCAGACAGTTTTTCAATTGATTTCTTAAGAAATTGATTAAATACATACTTAAAAAAAAGTGCAGTACTGTTTCAAAAAGCAATGTTTGAGTGGCACAATCCCGTGTCCGATTACAAGTTGTATTAAAACGTAAGAACCAGAGATTGATTATCTTTCATTTTTTAGAATTTTCAAATACATCTTCAGGTTTCATTAGCAGATGGCATTTACTCTGAGACATCTCTGACTAAAGCAGAGGTCGCGTTAACCGAATATTTTCCGTATATGACGATTTTTTTGTAACAATGACGGAAAAATCTGAAAGCAGTCTGTCATTTTGACAGATTAGAACAAACTTAGAACAGCGCCAAAGTTTCCCTGCAGCGAGGCTCTGGTGTTATGCCGTGTTATGCATGCCCGCCCAAAAGGAAATGATACGGTTTCCAAACCTAACTTCGCCGTACAGATCATTGAAATGTCTGTGGGTTTTGGCTTTACGCTGTGCGCGCTCCCGCGAGGTGCAGTGGGCATGCATAACACGGCCCCCCCCCCCGTCAGAGTTGTGTAAAGGCCGACGGGTAATACTGGATTTTGACGGAAATGTTACGATCCTGTCCGTCAAAATGATGTCTAAAAAAAAAAGTCTAGCGCAACCTCTGACTAAAGACCATTAACTGTTGTTGAGGGCTCAAGAAAAACTCCATGAGCAGATATTTCTTCTCCAACTACAATATCAATTTAATTTATTTCTGCAATATCAGTCATTGTTTGAGTCTCAGAAACCTACCTGTAGTCTTCCCTTGTAGCGACCAGACTTGACACGTTTCGAAGAATTCCTCCTCCGCTCTCGATGATGGCAAGCGAATTGGTTTGACATCGGTATGTCAGTGTGCTGACCAGAAAGCCCAGAGCGCCGTCCACTGAGCATATTGCCACCTTGTTGTCAGTGCTGTGAGCAGAAAGATTCCACAGAGCACTGAGGAGGCTCTTCAAGGTCGACTCCTGAAAGTCAGCAAAACAACATATAAGGTTTTGTTGGCTTTGTATACAAACACAGAAAGTACATATACTCAGTGAACATAATGTTTTCAGAGCTTACATTTTCATTTGAAATTATTCAGAGCGTACTTTTTAAAATCACACAGTGACTTGCTGTTGGAACTGACAAGTTACTGACTTGATAGGATTAGCCAACTCTGGTTACATACATTTAGAAACCTTTTAAACACATATGCACAGTTTTACACTAATTGACATGCTGTATATCATGTATATAATTCGTACTAAAAGTAAGCGTAAAAGCGATGGAAACTTCCACAAGATATAAAATGAGTAATTTAGAAGATGTCTTTAAGATCTTCCTCGCATTATCTCTGTGCGGGTGAGGTTGTTTGAGTTACCTTGGTAGCCTGCAGGGCACAGGTCATCAGGGCAGACACAGAGCCGATGTCTCTGAGGACCTTCTTACTGCTGATGTCGGCCCTCCAGGATAGGTTCCTCAGGATGCTGGAGACCACTTGATGTAGCTCCTCACTGTCTGACGCCAACTGGGCCACAAGAGCCAGCAGACAGCTCTTCTTGGAGCACAGAGTGGCCTGAAATGTGAACAGTTTGGGGCAAACAGACCCAATTGTTTTAGTTTGGTAAATCAATCAAAGACATTTTGAATTGATCTGTTGACTGTCACAAAGGCCTGTCACAGAGCATTTCGAGCATATTTCTGTCTGGCCTTACAGTTTATGAATTATTTAGCATTTAAATGACATACTATACTATTTTTTACTTTGATATTTTTGTTGTATGTTTTTTTTAACACACATCGTTTGATTGTTGTTATTTGTTATTTTTTATTATCCTATGCCTTTCATTTTTTATATAGCATACTATGAGTTTTAATCTTGTATGGCTTTTTATTGTCATCACATGACATGCTATGCTGCATTTTTTTTAATGACTTTTTTTTGACAACATATTCCATTTCTTGATTTACTTTTTATGAAACATTTTAGTTGTAGTGTGTTTAAAAACGTTAAAGTATAGTATATGGCATTGTAAATGCCATTTAAGTTACAGTATGGTATTTCATGAAAATGCCAATAAAGAAATAGAATAGTATTTCATTAATGTCATAGTTTAGTATGTAATATGAATGCCATACAGTGCAACTTCATATTGTAGTATGTTATGAAAATGCCATAAAGGCATTGAAAAGTGTTTAAAACCTCATAGAATAGTATGTCATTATAAGGGTATTAAAAAGAAGTGACCGCAACAATCTACACTCTTACCCTAAAAACCGTCCGACACCAGTGTTAGTAACAGTCCTAACAAAAAGGGTGGGAATCTATTGTTGAAGAAATATTTAGATCTTGTACTTAAATAACATTAGCATTATCAAACTATGTATACTCTATTACAAGTTAAGGTTGTGCATTAAAAAGGTAACTTAAGTATTCTTGTAATGCGAACAAGTATAGAAATTAGAAAATATGTATAAATGTATATAGTTACTGTCCACAACCGTGTTTAGGTTACTTTTCTCATATTTTACACCTTTCCACGACAAATCTTTCTTTGAACATTACTGCCAACTGAACTTGCAGGACTGATGAAACACCAGTGTACCTTGTTGACGACGTCTCCGAAGGTAAGGTTAGTCACAGCCATCCCTGCGTAGCGGCGCAGAGCCATGTTGATGGGGTCGTTCTGCATGCCGTACATGTCCTGCTCCAGGTGGATCAAATCAGCCACGACCTGCAGACCGCCTGGAACACAACACAACCAACTCTGAGCACAAGGGGCCACTCGTGTTTAGTGAAAATAAGACTGGTAGTTGTTTCACAAACCTAATTCGTTCATGGCACGCCGGTACTCCTCTTCAAAGGAAAGCTTCATGATGGCGCACATGGTCTGACAGATCTGAGGGTCTACAGGCTCAGGGATGTCTGCAGGGAGGAAAACAAATACGTTTATTAACAATAAATCTACTGAATGAGAAAACTCATCTGTGAAATATGTGCCTTAATGTTGTACTGGTACAACACAAACAATGTACTGCATTTTGCTGTACCCAAAAAAACTCAGAGCTTGTCGCCACCAAAATGAAGGGATGTATAATTGGTTTAAAATGCAAAGAAGAAAATTGTGAGTGGAGGAAGAAGTCCTCAAATAATTTACTTTAGTTATAGAAGTGATACTATAGTGTGCAATTAACAACTGTTTTATTGACTTTGTTTAGCACTTATAATTCCCATAAGCCATGGACTGTTGTGTTGTGTATGATGTGTACGTTTAACATTTTGGTGGGACTAAACAATTTGAGCATAATTTTCCATTCTTATAAATTGTTTGCAAGTGCAGCCGAAAGTTGTGGGCCATGAATGTAAAAGAACGTGTAGGCCCAAATATATTTGCTAATGTAAGCTGTTTTGAAGCAATGGAACGTAATGTGTGTGAATGTGAGATAGTTCTAACAGCCTGTCAGAGTAATCGCAGGTTAGGATGCCCGCCACATATTATTTTTACATTGGGCCCGCCCTGGGAAATCAAATGCCCGCCCACAGATTTATGTCTGCCACCGGGTCTGAGTAGGAACCTGAGGCATAGGTGGTGTGAGCTCCTCCTGGTCTAAAGTTTCTAAACTCAGCTCCCCAGTGGGTGTGGTTAAGTATAGAGGTGACCCCGCCCGTTTAAAGGGTTGTTCGCGTTTCCAAATGTATAGCTTAACCGACCAATGGAGTTTTAAGAACTTGACTGACCGGTGGTTTTGGTTCCTCCAGGTGACGGTGTCCCTGCGTGGCTCTCGATCCAGTCCCAGCCGCTGTCACAGTAGGTCCGGACCTGCTCCAGCAGGTGCAGCACCCGCATCTCGCGGCGGGCCTGGCCCTCGTCCTGCTGGGAGTAGATGATGTTGTGGAGGGCGGCGCTGGCTCTAGATCTGGCCTCCCTGCTGCAACCCGTCACAGTCCCTTCCGTCACTACCTCCCCCCCGCTGGGGGCTTCGTGTAGGATCTGGACCAGCAGCGGGACGCAGCCGGACCTTCTCATAGCAATGCAGCTGTCCTGAGAGCTGGACAGCGCCAGCAGAGTGCGAGACATCTCCTCCTTATCTCTGTTGGCGAGCATGGAGAGCAGCCAGAACACCATCTCCACCTGAAGGGAGGGGCAGGAAAACTGTTATATGAAGATCATTATTAGGCCCAGTCACCGACAGAGACAGTGCGGAGGACCTATTTAAACTGATAGAATTATAATATTTTGTATTTGCCGGGTTTGAATGTGTTTCTGTGGTGCTTGGAATAGTCCAAAACACATGAAAGCTAGTGGGGGAGAGTAAAAAAGTGGTCACCTTGCTGCCTCCATCTGCAGGAGCTTCTGTTCCTGCGCCTCCATTCTCTGGCTCTCCAGCAGGGGGCTTCTCAGCTCCAGAAAGCTACACACACACACACACACACACACACACACACACACACACACACACACACACACACACACACACACACACACACACACACACACACACACACACACACACACAAGTCGAAGAAGACATGAGGATGAGGAGGATAAACTGAAGATATGCTTTGATTTGAACATAGTTTTGAACCAAGTAGAGAATGTGATTCCTGTCCGAGATGATCAGGTATACCAGCAGTACACAAACTATCCATGCATTCTAAATGTGACATAAAAACAAGTGTTGGGTGTCATCATGATGTATGCCGCATTTATACGGCAATATCTGTCACTGTGATATCCTCGATCTTTGCAGACAAATCACTCGTCAGATATTTCACTTAAAACTGAATCTCAATTATTTTATCATTATAACTTTATTTAATAATTACATTAGTATGCTTACATACAAGGTGAACATAGTTTGAAACATAAAATAATAGATTCATAAATACAACAAGCACAATGTCACACCAAAAAATATCTTGTTTACAGAAATGTGTCAATGCCGTTCTTAAATGTTGTATGTGAGGGACTACGGATGGAAATTAGCTCAAAGCTAAAATCCGGCATGTTTACGTTTTAAAGCATTATTTGTTTTAAATGTTCATCAATGTGCATTGTCCCTCTTCAAATAAATGAGGAAATGAAAAATAAATGAAAAATGTGTCATCACATTTCTTTTTGGTGTCAATCATGAATTAAATAATGGTGGAAAACATCCGTCATGTGAGATCAGAGTTATGAATATCTCAGGATCTGTTTAGTTAATGTTCCGCACATCAGCTGCTGATATGTAGAAACCCTGAATACACAAAGCTCCTGAGGGCATGTTCATTCAATTACAAACAATCCAATATATTGATGTTATTGATAGCAGTGCTGTTAAATATTTGTATCAGAATTTCTAATAGGAAAATAATCAGAACATATAAGCCATTCTGTTAGATCTTATCATTACATATTACATACATGGCAAAGAAAAGCATTGTAGGAGTGTGATGCAGGGTCAGTGTATGTTTTGGTCATTGGATTTTCTTTTCACAAATGGATATTCAAAAACAAAAAACGACTGGATATTTAAGTTTCGTTTTAAAATTGAAAAACCAAAATTGAAATACAAGGCGTTTTTCTTTATCATGGTCAAAAAGGGATTTACTAAACTTAAAAAAACGGGATGATCATTTTCTACTTCTCAAAACAAAAAATAAAACTACAGTTTTTTCATATTCTGCTACCGGAAGTTACCTTACAAAATAAGAGCGCAGATGAAGTCAGAATCTGTGTATCTATGGTCCATTGGTTTTTCTTTATTAAACAAGTAAACGGAAGAGCGTCTGAGAGGCGTTTTTGCTTTTTACCTTACTAAATAGTCTAATGGTCCTTGGAGTGAGGGGCGGGGCGAAACTCACGGAAGTGATTTCAAAACAAAATCACACTTTGAATCACTACAGTATCCTGTTGAACGGTGATTATCATAAACAAGGGGAATTTAGCGATCACAATTAAAACGGCCAAGACACACTTTGAGCCCAGAAAACAAATGTTATTAAGGGCTGTACAAATAATAAGCCTCTGTCTAAAATGGACAACATTGTTAGGAGATTTAAAGGTCCCATGTTATGCTTTTCTGGTTATTACCCGTCCCTTTGTGTGTTATGAAGGTTTTTCTGCATGTAAACGGTGTGCAGAGTCACAAACCCTCAAAGTACACCATGTAGGGAGTAAAACTCTAACACAGAAAAGACCTGTCTCTGCTGCCCCAGAACGCCTCGTTGAAGATTTATCTGTTTCCATTGTTTGCTTCCTGGGTTCTGTGACGTGTGAACACCCAAATCAACAACAAATGACCGGATTGGCCCAAATGGACCAATCCGCGGAGCACCTCAAACGCCAGGATCCCTTGGCTAACTAACAGGGAGTCCCCATTGACTTGCATAGAGCTCCCTGAACGCTGGTAATAGACGAGTTGGGATGGTGGAGAAATGCTCTCCGCAGCAGACCCATTCTCACAGCGTTATAAACCTTTTTCTTACTCAATATCAAGTCACAATTATTGTTTTTACTTCAGCTGTGAGTGTTTGTGTGCTCAGGATGAGTTTGGCTTGTTCTCGCTGTATCGCCGACCCAGAAACCTGTCCGCTCCTCGCAGCAGCGGCGAGCAGCAACAAGCCTCGCAACGTCCCGACCAATCGGAGCACACTAGGCTCACAGGGGGGGGAGGGGGGGGGGGCAGGAGCTCCAACAAGCCGTGTAGGACAGAGAGTGAATACACATACTATACAGAGATGCTGTTTGAGAAACCAATGTGATTTTAGAACATTGAACAATGTAAATCTATTCTAGTAGAGCTCAACAATGGAACTATGATCAGTAGAAATGGCCATGACATGAGACCTTTAAACTATACAGCGATTCTGCACTGCGGTCAACTCAAGTTTGTTTTTTCAAATCAGCTGCTCTTCATTTTTTGTGATATATAGTGATACAAATATGTTTTACCACAAGTTCTTAAGAAAACTGACATTGTTGGACTTGGTTCTAGTTTGACTTCTACCAGAAATAAAATGAAGTACTTTTACTGTGTACTTTGTGAGTGATCCTCTGTCAGAGTCCCCTCCTTAGTACATAATGCATGTTTTTCTGCTGTCTTTGATGAATGATCAAAATAAAATCTTACCATTAGTTCTTAATGACATTGATACTGTTTGACTTTGTATTAGTTAGCCTACTACTTACAATATATTGAAGTACTTTTACTGTGTATTTTTTGAGAAATACTCTATCAAAGTCCCCTGCTGAGAACAAAATCACTTCTGCTAAATTTGATGAGGGAATTATTTTTTGTTTCCATTAGTTCTTCGTGAGATTGATCCTGTTGGACTCAGTTACTACTACTACAGTTACTACTTACTATGTACTTTTCCAATAATCCTGTTAATGTCCCCTCCTGAGAACAAGAATGCATGTTTCTCTGCTATTTTAAATAAGCGTTAAAAAAAACCTTTCTTCATGAGACTGATATTGTTGGACAGAGTATTTTAAGAGGATGGTAGACATGATATCAACACTTCCAGTCAGTACTCCGGCAGCAGCATTTTACACCTTGGAAAGTCTTTAGAGTCTGGCCTGGATAGCTGGTCTATCCTTCAGCACACTGACACACTCTGTCACTCTTGTTGGCCTCTTATGAAGCTGCTGTCTTTTAATATATGATTATTTCTCTGCTCCTAGTTCATTCCTCGCAGACTCTTCCTTCAGTCCCAGTCATTGCATGTCAGACAATAGAGCTTCGAGAAATGTGTCTAATTCAGCAAAATGTTTTTTTGTGAGTGAAGGCCAGAGCTAAATTATAGATTGTTTGATTGTGTAATTACAAGGTGAGAGAAAATAAATCCACATCCTCCTATGAAACCTATTTTATTTCCTTTTCCATGTTATACTTAACCTAACCCACTTACTTGTATTAGAGACTTGGCTTTTATAATTTGGAATTGAATAACGCACGACAATCGTTCTTCTCTGACATCATCACCAAAAACAAAAACAACGCACGTGCCTTGTTTGCTACCGTCGACAGACTAACTAACCCCCCAGTGTCAGTAGCCTCTGAATTTCTATCCACCAGGGCGTGCAATGATTTTGCCTCCTTCACTGACAACATTCAGAAAATCAGACAAGCAGTCAGTGCCTCTGCATCAGGAACAGCAAATGTGTTGTCTCTGTGTCCACTTAAAATCAATTCAAACACCATGACACAATTCCATCAGATTAATGATAAAAACCTAGAGGACATTATTCAACTTCTGAAATCCTCCTCCTGCTGCCTTGATATTATTCCAACAGGATTTTTCAAAGATGTTTTGCCTTGCATGGCCTCAGATCTACTTCATATAGTAAACAAATCTCTTCACTCAGGTATTTTTCCACAGGCCCTGAAAACTGCATTCATTAAACCGTTCTTAAAAAAGAATAATCTAGATGCTTCAGTAATGAACAATTACAGGCCCATATCAAACCTGCCATTTCTAGGTAAAATCATTGAAAAAGTTGTTTTTCAACAGTTGAGTAATTTCTTGCATTTAAATAACTGTTTTGATGTGTTCCAGTCAGGCTTTCGTCCAAACCACAGCACTGAGACTGCTCTTGTAAAGGTCTTTAATGACATCCACTTAAACACAGACAGTGGCAGAACTTCAGTGTTAGTATTATTAGATCTCAGTGCTGGGTTTGACACTGTTGACCACAACATATTACTAGACCGACTGGAAAACTGGGTGGGACTTTCGGAAACAGTTCTAAATTGGTTTGAATCCTACCTAAAGGACAGAAACAACTTTGTTTCTATAGGTAAATACACATCTGAGTTGACAAATATGACATGTGGGGTACCTCAAGGCTCCATCTTGGGGCCTCTTCTCTTTGCTACATGCTACCACTGGCTCAGATAATGAAGAACAACAAAATAAGTTACCATAGCTCTGCAGATGACACACAAATCTACGTAACAATTTCACCAGGAGACTATGCTCTAATTCAAACACTGAGTAAGTGCATTGAACAAATCAATGACTGGATGTGTCAGAACTTTCTCCAATTAAACAAAGATAAAACTGAGGTAATGGTTTTTGGAGAAAAGTCAGAACGTATAAAAGTGAGCGCTGAGCTTCGGTCTGCAATGTTCAAAACAACAGATAAAGCCAGAAATCTAGGTGTAGTCATGGACTCTGACCTGAGTTTCAACAGTCACATTAAAACAGTTACTAAATCAGCCTACTATCACCTAAAGAACATATATAGGATTAAAAGACTAATGTCACAGCAGGATTTGGAAAAACTTGTCCATGCTTTTATCTTCAGTAGACTCGACTACTGCAATGGTGTCTCCACAGGTCTCACTAAAAAATCTATTAGGAAGCTGCAGCTGATTCAGAATGCCGCTGCTCGAGTCCTCACTAACACTAAGAAAGTGGATCA